TTTCCGAGGTTTTTCGTGGACGGAGTCCGGAGACCCTGGGAAAACTTTCAGATCCTCTTGTAGCTCAAGAATCAAGTCTGAGGTATTCAGCCTCAGCATCGGCGTACTCCGCTTTTCCACTTCAGCACTTCTTCCTTCTCATCCTCAATCTTCTTGCCGCTATCCAGCTCGGCGATCAACTCATCATACGCTTTCTCCTGCATAAAGTGCATGTATCGGTCTCACACTTGGTCAAATAGAGCGACTTTCACCTCGGCCACCTTGACTTCCTGGGTAAATTCGGCGGCGACCTCCCTCTTCGCGGCCTTCTTCGCACAAGCCACTTCAGTCTCCCAAAGAGATGCGAACCGTCAGGGATGAAGCACCAAGAATGGTAAACGGCTCGGTCGACTCATTCATGAAGCTCGTCACACTTGCTCCCCAAGTCAACGAGCTGGGGGGCTAACTGTTGGGGTCGGATTTCACCCGTACTATGGCCGAGGCAAACCATAACACTTCGGGTACATTGACAGCCAGCTCGGGCCATCTTCCAAATCGGCTCGTGAGACAGTGTGTTGATTTGGCTCGGGAACACTGACCAAATCGCCTCGGGGGACATCGGTTAGATTAGCTCGGGGTGCGACGGCTCGGGATGGCAATAACGTTTCACTTTAATCCGAGCCGAATGAACATGCTGCCCCGAGGCAGTATTAACAATACCCGCGGCAAAGCCTCACTCTTCCCCGAGGTGAAATGTTAGTGCTACCCGAGGCGAAACGTATGTTGTACCCGAGGAGGAATGCACCAAGACATCCCGAAGCAAAGACTTAGAGGAATATTCACCCTCGAAGTACAATTTCCAAGCAAGGCATCATTTCCGAAAAAGAAGGGTCATTTCCGATAAACCCGGGAATGATAAGGAAGAATCTCAAAGGATCGACTCAAATCAGGATATCTTCCAAAAACTCCGAAGAATAAGGAAATTATCCTGATCCGCGATATTCTACACCGACTTCAAGATAAATGGAAATCTTCCGAGAATATCGCTGGAAAGGCGGTTTACCACCCCTATATAAAGAGATTCAAGGCTCAAGCAAAGGAGAGGCAATATCGCTCTAGAATTTACACTACGCAAAGCTCTCACAGCACAAACATCTTTTTCCTTTTACGATCAAACTCTTGTACGATCAAAGTCATCTTTTTCTTAATAATATCAAGAACACCATCTTTGGTTACAATCGTTTCTGTTGTTCTTTGAGAATTCACGATTATCGTATCCCTAAAATAAAACCCTAGACAAATCTCGATTGTGTTAGTTTCGACTTCCACAAGAGGTCTTCATGTCCGTGAGTGAAACCAGACCCGAAGCCCGTCTTCTAATGGAGGTGATCCTGTTACGGACTGCGTGATCAAGGAAAGAAATGAGCTGGTCCGACGTTTGTGGGATTTCTCCATGCCTTCTTCTATTGCATTCTCACCACAAGACGTGTATTGATGCTTGGAAGACATATCGAATAATGAACAGGGCTGAACCTGTGAAAGATGAATCTGAGGTGATGGAGAGGATTTCACTGAAGTAAGTTGTGTAGTGATGGAGGAGGAGCTTGCGGAGTAACGCCTCCCACACCCGAGATGAGAAACTACATTCGAAGAACAGGCGAAATTATATATGAGCTATTCGACTTGCAGGTTTCTGTATACGTTTTTATCTTTCTCCAAACATCGATGTGTTTGGGGTTTTATGAGTTCTGAATATTGTTGTGTCAAGTTAAGCCCCAATAATGATTTATGATTATAACGTTATACATAAGCTTTAAGCCTCAATATACGTTGTTGCTTTCTAAGATTTCTCTGCTTTTCCGAATGATTTAGCAACGAACAAATCTCCTCTTTATGAAAATAAAGGATCAATATTAAGAGTTTGATGGCACCTTAAGTATTAGCTCTATTTGATCATTCTCTTCACTTCCTCCATCTTCAAAGTCAAGTGAGAAAGAATAAGCCACCTAAAAGACATTACGTTTTCATTGAAACTAACGTGCTTCAAAAAATCCTACCAAGTCCCTGTCTACCTAACGAAAACTACTTGCAAAATGTGGAAACTTCCGATATCTCTCTAGCTACCTAAGTCTGATGAGGGCTCTAATTTAGAAAACATCATCTAACCTTAAAGGAGCTGCCACGTCCAACACTTTTTCCTTCAAGTCTTTCATCTCTTCCTCGATTTCTCGCATTCGAGTCTCATAAGCTTCTTCGCTCTCCTTCTTTTTTAACACCTCATTCAGTTTATTCTCCAACCAATCCAACTTAAATCCAGCCTCTTTCATGGATCTTAGTAAACCATATGCACCAGCCAGATCATCCTTTGATATTTCTCGAGGCGGCTGGCCCAAAGTCTCAATCAAACTGAGTAGAACATTCATGTAAGCTGTCTTGACAACCGGGTTCTTCGGAAAAAACTCTAATGCAATGTCTGGATGTTTTTCAAAAATACGCTTCACAAATTCCACCTGCAAGTAAAAAAAAAGGATCCACAAAACTCAATAAACACTACAATAAAGTCTTGAAATTTCAAAAAAAAGTTTGTATCTTTTTTTACCTGGAAGGAAGAACTGAAACCC